ATTAATTTCCAGTGTACAGGATCTTTACAAAATATTTCATATCATATAGGACTTTGAAACTGCTTAATGGCCTGAGACAGGAAGGGGATAAAGTAGCCTTGTCTATGGGATACAAAAGTACATTTCAAAATGATAGTAGTCATTTGAGAGAATGTTTGAGTGTATTTCTTGTTTCCTTCTAACAGAAAACAGTGGTTCACAGCCCAGAAAAACTTATTGAAATGGTAAATGTAAAACCAGAATGGGACTTTTACGGGCTTGTTTTATTTGCTGATTGTACACTATTTCTGTCATACGAGTAGTGCGTGAAACGAGTCCAAGAGACAATAAAGTACAATCTCTCTTTCATGCAGTGCCCTAGAGACGTGACAGATTCCTCCAAACAGTGTATTTGGCCAAAATTAACCAATGCTTTAAAGAACGCACTTATTCTTGGTCCAAGCAGCTCTTTAAAAGTTGGTAATGCCGCAGCCTGATGTGCAACTGAGCCAAGCTCACGAGTTTAATCTGCATCTGTACTGCTTTAGTGGTGTTTAGCCAGGGTAATAATAGGGAGCCACAACTGGCCTCCATGTTCCCTGGCTTGAGAGGAAAGTCGGTCAGTGTTCTCACTCATGAATAGTAACCAGTGACAGCTACTGGAAAGTACACATGTTTGGAAAGGTTCAGGCTTGCGTGTGATGCTCCCCACTGCCTGGGCTCACGCATCAAGTAGAGTCCCTTGAGTGAAGTACCAGAAGACAACTGGTCCTTGTGGAATGTTGGCACTGATGTCTTTAGTCAGTGCATACAACATTGGAGGAGAGAAAGCTGGATGAGAAGCGGATATTTTTATCCAACAGTACTATTAAATATTATTTTGTGAGCAGTTTTTCCTTCAAAGATATGTTGAAACAGTGAAATTGTTACTATTAAAAAATAATAATTTGATGTAGCTTCCTGTGAGAAGCTATATCAAAGGCAATAATAATCCTTGCATTTGATATAGATTCTCACAGGATTTACTGTAGTCACTGTGTATTTTGTAGCAAAATGTGGCAGCTAATTTGCGCACAGCAGTGTCCCATGAATAGCCATTATTTTATCATGAGGATTGTTGGTCAGGGCACCAGCAGACATTCCCTTTTCTTTTTCAACTATGTCATGTTATCTATTGGCTGCCACGGATGCCTGCACAATGCATTCTCACTACACTTTACAGTAAATCCTGTGCAGCGCGTTGAGACATCCTCCTGATGTGAAAGGCTCTATATCAAATGCAAGAATTATTGTTATCTTTAATGTCTACCTGAAAGCCAGAGATCAGTTTAACATCTCATCCTAAAGATGTCATCTTCACCAGTGCAGTGCACCCCTACTACTGTACTGGAGTACCAGCCTCAAGTCCAAATTATGCTATTATCTCCAGGTTTCTGGACCAGTGTCCTGTAGGCCATTGGGACTTCAAAACAGTACCAACCCAACAGTTAATCTAACTGTGCTACAACTTGCCATCCTCAAAATATTTGGATAAAATTATCCATCAGCCATGATTCACATTGGATCAAACCTGACTGATACTGCAGGTTTTGCAGCAGAACACAGTTTGAAGTGTTTAAAAAGATTAAACACATCTAAGGCAGTTAACAGTTTACTCAAAGTGTTTTCCAAAATTTGAGTGAACCAAATTTTCGATAAACTCAAAGAAATGTATTTTAGCTCCTGTGATGATACAATAGGTAAATGCACTGCACACATGGAGCTGTATAGACCAGAAAGGCCCACGTTTTGATCTCTGGTCTGTGTTGAGTTTGTTGATTGAGCCAGTGCGGCAGTAAAGAAGTATGAGGAATGAGGAAGGGGCGCTCAGCAAGCATTCAGATATCTAACCAGTGACGTCTGCACGAATATGCGACTATGTGGACGTTTAGTAAAGCAGGATTGGGTTAAGCTATGATGCCTCGAAAATTACATAAACTACAGAGACTTCCACACGCTCACAAGTGAAGAATACCACACTTGGCCAGGGTGTCAGAGCGCTGCCATGGATCCATAGCTCAGCAGAAGTCATCTCTTTAATAAACTAATAATTTAAGAAGAATCCTTGCATTTGATATAATGCCTCATCACCTCATTGAACATCTCAAAGCACTTTACACAATTTACTGTAGAATGAAGTGACTGTGTCTTTGTAGGCAAATATAGATGCCAATATTATGCACAGCAATGTCCCTTCATCCAAAGGATGACACTTTCAATACTGCATCACTCCCCCAGCACGGTATTGGAGTGTAGGCCTAAAGTATGAACTCAAAGTATCAATACAGGTTTTAACCCACCACACCTTGACTCCAAGGTGAGAGTGCTACCAACTGAGCCAGGCTTCCTTCTCAGGAAAAGTGGGAGAAGAGGAAAAAATAAGTTTGAAACATGAAGTGAAAAAGAGCAGATTCATCTCTTATATGATATATCTAAGTCATAGGCACACTAGATCTGAAAACAACATTAGCACTACATTGGCTATACTTCTGTAAAACTGCAGGAAAATAAAAATAAAAAGGAGTTTGTTAACTCTTTCCGTCTCCAGTTCAAACAAGCCTCTCTTCATTCAGCAGTTCATTGTTATGTTAAATTATTCAATTTGTAACATACAACTGGAATATTTAACACATGTTGAATATCATTTCCAGCCCACAAAATGTAGTAAGTCAAACAGCCCTGATTCGAATGTGCAATGTTACTGATAAATTCTTGTGAATGTTAAATACCATTATTTAGCAGTTACTGGGCTTTATTTTGTTTCATCTAACGTTTGTCTTTTTGACCAAGAACACCATCATTACAGGGAGATGTTTTACAATAATAATCTTTCCATTTGGTATGGCTCCTTATCAGGTCTGAAGGACGCCTCAAAGCGCTTCACAGGATTTACTGTGAAATGGGGTGACTGCACTTGTAGGCAAACACAGCAGCACAGCAATGTCCTACAAACATGCATTAAATGAGTGACTAATTTTATTCGGAGGATTTGTTGGCCAGGACACAGGGAGAAACTTCCTTCTCTTTTCAAATAGTGCCATGGGATCTTTAACGTCCACCTGAACAGGCAGATGGACCTCGGTTGAACAGGCAGCCAGGACCTTATTTAATGTCTGATCCAAAGGAAGGCACCACCAAAAATGCAACACACCCCAGCACTACATTGGAGTTTCATCTTAGACTATGTGATTCCAAATCCCGACATGAGATAAAGCACTAACATCTATCAGCTTCTTCCCATACGTGTTATTTCAGAAGCAATGATTATACACTGAATACCTCAACTAACAGCGAGATTCAACATAGGCCCAATGTTTTAAATAGCAATTTTACTTTCTGTCTGTTTGTTGGACTTTTCAGGTTTTTTCTTAGGTGAAAATGACCCGAAAGTGAAACGCCAGCCATGATCACAACTTCTGCTCTGTGAATAGCACATTTTTAGCCCTAGAAGATACATTACAATTTGAAGTTTCCCTGATAAACCATCACAGATATGAAAGGTTCCTGTATTCACCCTGTAAAAACTCTCCATAAGGCTGTGACACAATCCCTCTCTCTAAATGTGTGGATATCACTTATAACTGCAACCCATGTTGAATATATGGAATACATGGCAAGAGTGAAGCAGCAGCTTTCTCTGCAGGGATGCTGAGCACAAGCAACTTCTCTTAAGATATCTGATCCACAACTGCTAGGGCTGTACAAGTGAAATAAGCTCTGGATCTTACTGTCATATCTGTACAATTAAATTTTTCTGTGAAAACTCTTGGTTGAACTTTACAACTTCTACAGTACCTTTCTACAGTACCAGGAAGAATAACCTCAAACTTAGCATTTTTGTTACAAGGGCAATGAAATCTAGTAATCATAATGCATTTGATATGCAAGGTTTTCTGGAACCCTGCATTGCTTACAATTGTTAAGAAATAGTTCAGCGCAAAATAATTTACATTTCTGATACCACATGCATGAAATACTGATCCACTAATTGTGTAATCCTACCAATCCTTCCGGGAGTACAAATAACTCAATATTAACTTTGATGAGAAGTTTAAACTGCTAACGGGGCTGTGTTATTTTGTGGTCGTTGTGAAAAAGGATACATATCCTAATGACAACTCTCTAAAACCGAGTGCTAAGAGTTCTCAAACTTTCGCAATACTGAGCTACAGAGAGCCTAGAGGTCAAGATGTAGACAACATAAAAACAGCTTCTCAAAAAGTGTACTTACAACATTTTAGAAAACGTTAATGTCAGAGTTAGTCAACTTAACATTAAGATAAAAGCATCCGGGGCATAGGAACATATTCTGAACCAATTGATGCATCCTTCACCCCTCAGTTGATTGTTGATTGACCCAATCAATGCTTCTATATTTAACAATTGTACCGAGTTCACAAGATCCAGCTGTCACAATGGCTTAAAGTCAATGGAATGGGACGCCTGCCCTCATCTTGGGTGTCTGTGCCTTGATTTAATAAATAACAACGATGTTCCTTCTAAATAAGAATGTAACACTGCATATTACTAGTGCAATTTTTTCAGTTTGTTTTCTAAAAAGTTCACAACATAAAGACTCCTCCACCCCGCTGTCATTCCGACTCAATAACCTCATTTCATGACACAAAGCTGGACGCCATCCAACATTGCAACAATCACTCAATTAGTAAGTTCCCGTTGTTGCTCTCCCCGGTCAGGAACAGCTTCCCGACACCAGCAGTTACTCTTGTGGTGTGTAAACTTTTTGTCACGTTCTACGGACTCGACATTCACATTGGCCTGGAACTGCAGGAGATGTCCCAGCACAATCAGACTGGCTTTCCAGCTTCTTATCAGCACCGTGACAGCAACAGTTCCCTGCTACGGCAAGTTATAGCATCCGTCTCCCAGAGTAATGTGTAAGTTGTTTTGTTCAAAGTCAAATTCTGCAGCAGGTTCATTCTTTACACATGCCACTTTAGATTTCATTCACAAATACTCACCAGTGCCTCGGGTTCTTTGCTTATGTCAGTGTAATAGTCGGGGAATGTGTCTATGTTCTGACTTTCTGTACTCTTCTGAATACCCTTGTCTGTACGACAAGAGTGGCAAAGTGCTGCGTTGCCCATAGCAGTGCCCTGTCAACAGCTGCCCTGGGGAAGGAGTACAGCCACTAGAGTTCCAACCAAGCACGGGCACAATCCTGATAGTCACTGTCGCTCTGCTGCCCCAAACCACTCCTCACGCTCACTGCTGGCTACCCAACTATGAAAGAACTGGAAACCCTGCACAGTTGGCAGCAAACTCCAACCATTCCCAATTCAGGCACCGCCTGGCTATTTTTACACCCACCAGGCAAACTATGTATGCAAATGACGACCTGGAGTGGAAAACTCAGAGCTCATGCTGACGTTTCTGTCTGGCAGCAAATGGCATATCTCGCGTGCTTATTAAAAGGACGAAATAAAAATTTGCAATGAATTTTTCAGCTCTCTTTTGTTCCATTGTCAGCTTACAACATCCTCATTGATATACAGCGGACTCTTTACAGCACTGACCCGTCTGAACAGTGCTGTTGTTTCTAAGCACTGAGTTAACCCTCTGAGTACTTTGAGGAATTTTTGACCCATTTAAAACAAGTGTCAGCTTTTAGATTTATTAACATAATACTATTTACACCGAAGCACTCTTCAGTCTGATTTTTTTTAGCGGTATTTAATGTCAGGATGCTACGGATGTCTGCCCCCTGTGCCACAGTGTAAAACCACAAGATCCAAATCCTGGTCACAAGTTTGATACACGGTCTGGGTTGAGTTAACTGATCTCAGATGATGCAGTAGACAGGGATGTTGCACAATCTCTGCACTAAAGTGAGAAACCACCAACCAGCAGCAGGGTTCCTGCTCCTGATCTGTAATCTGAGCCTCATGGATAAAAATGCTTGTTTTGAGCGCTCCGAGACGCTATCCTGCCATATCAATCCAAGTTATTGTTGTTTTTGTTGGAATTTGGAGGCCTGAAAGTCCTCATTGTTGTAGCCTGGCTGCAGTTGGTCTTAACATTTTTAAATTGTGCATAAAATTCTTAAATTCAGTCTTAATTTGGATCCTTTTTCTTCATAACCGTGGAAAAATGCAAGCTTCCAAATTGAACAGGATTGAAGCATTTTTCACATTGCTGTGCAGTTTAGAATTTTAAGACAAAGTGGTCATACAGTCTCAGATTACGTTAAAATTTGGAGCCATGAAGTTATTACCATGAGAACTGATGGGCCTGTGATGAGTTTATTTCAGTGTGAGGGTCGGGATGGTTGTTGGCTGTGATCCCAACAGTGCTCAAATAGTTGGGCGACACTCACAATCAAGCCTTACCCATGAAGAATGGTTGCTCAGGCCTCATGCCTTAGGATTACCAAACCCAGGGCTTCAAGAGAAGAGTGGAGCAAATTGGTGAGTGAACGCGCAACAATTTCCCTTCTCCCCTCTTCCTGCTCTGTGAAGAATAAAGGAAAAAACTGTGAAATTGATCTCAGAAACATTTTCAAAATCTATCTCTGAGTTTCTGTGTGCAGTACTGAGAAACAAGGCCTCTCGGTAATATAATTATGGGATTGCTTTCCCAGCTTTGTGAAGCCTGATTAGTTCTGGGGTGCTACCCTGCATGAGGGGCGCTGTATGAATCCAAGTTGTTGTTGTTGATTTTGTGAGCAAACAATCATTTCTCTCTGTTTTACTTTTCCTCTCATTTGCCTCACTGGACACACACAGCATCCTTGATGAAGTGATAAGGCATTATACTGAATGTAAGAATTATTATCATAATTTTATTATGAGTCACAAAGAACCCTCGGAACATGCATCCCAGCAGATATTTGTGCAATGGATCTCGTGTCTGCAGCAGCACGCACTTTCTTGGCCACCAGGATGGTGACTACGGCAACAGACTTGCCAAGTAAGCTCTTTCTCTGTTCCTGGGGCTAGGACTGCCGCAAAAGAATTCACAGCAAAAGTCTTTACTCGAGGGAAATAGCTGTGTGAAAATTGAGGCACTCAGGCTTTCTCCCTCATGTCTGCAACCTTTAAACAGCTGGCTGCAGCTGTTTGGAATACTATTATGTGCCAGTCTGGCTCAGTTGGTAGCATTCTCATCTCTGAGTCAGACGGTTGGAAGTTCAACCCCATGTCAGGACTGTGAACTCCTACAGTCTGTGCTGACACTCCAATCTAATGCAGGGGAGTACTGCACTGCCAGAGGTCCCGCCATTCTGATGAGACGTTAAGCCAAGGCTCCGTCTGCCTATTTATATGGATGTTAAATATCCTGTGGCACTATTCCAAAAGAGGAGGGGGTTTCTCCTGATATCCTGGCCAAATATTATTCATTCATTGTTTGTGGGACAATGCTGTGCACAAATTGTCTGCCGTGTTTGCCTATAAGGTACAGTTATTATACTTCATATAACCTATAGAACCTATGCAACTCTTTAGAGACATTCTCCTGACATGAAAGGCATATAACAAAGACAAGGATTATTTTAGTTTTTATTGTATTCATAACTAAATCTAGTGTCATTCAGTAGATATTAGACGATGAATAATAGATTAACATACTGCAAACTGCAAAGGAAATCTAGAACCCAGAGGACAAGTATATTAAATACATTCATTATGTTCTATTCATCTTTAAAACCATCCATTGGCTCAAGTACTCAGAACCCTTTGTCATTGTTGATATCAATGGTTGGGAGGCTTTTTTGTAGCCGCCTAGTTCTACAATTTAAATAAAATTCTCAATGAACACATTAATCTGCTCTGATCTCTGAACCTATCATTAAGGTGCACATGCCTATTCTCTTTTCACTTTGTTCTGAAAATTGCTCCCTGTGTCCTTACAAAATGTAAACAAGATCTTGCATTCATATAGCACCCCTTCACCAATGTACCATCTCAGAGCACTTAACAGCGTTGGAGCTTAATACCCAGCTGGGGAGAGAAGGCAGGTGACTGTAGGCACGTTCAAAGAGGAAGCTTTCAGATGCAATCTGAAGCCGGGCAAGGAGGGAACAAGGCGGGGGGACTGAGGTAGAGTTTCAAAGTTTTGCCTCGTAGCAGCTGAAAGCATTGCCATCCATGGTGTGGCAGAGCGGACACTTATAAAAAATAAAATCCATTATATCAATTAAAAATTCAAATTAAAATGTCATGCAGGTTGTTTGCAAGCTCACAGCAAGAAATGTTTAAATTAGCTGAAAGTGACAGAAAAAATAGTGCAGATCAAACGTGATGCATTTATCAAAGGAGTCAAATCACCTTGTATTATTATGCACTTATCTTGTAAATTTATCGACCCGTGACGATGAGCTTGCGATAGGTTTTTCCCATTATGAACACATGAAAAACTCTAACCACATCAAAATGCTTTTAATAAATTATAAAAATGGTGGTTTTAACATTATATTTGAATAAAAGTGTCAAAACAAGTTCATTTGATGGCAGGACTATCCGCATGTGGGGGGAGGGGTGTAAATGGCTGCTTTGCACAATCGTTGCCATGATATTGCAATGTAGCAACGTTTTATTTGAATGGCAGTGAGGCTATGATCTCATTTTATTGTGCAAATTCCCAGCAAGCAAATTGTATTTAATACTTTGTTTCAATGGCAAATGTCACTCTTGAAAGCCATTAACTTCTGTTATCGGACATAAACTGATGCTTACCAACAGCAGAATGGCAGCCTGCTAGCCTCATCTTCCCCAGAACTGAATATGCAGAGAGCAAGAGTAATATGACTGCTAGTTCACTAATTAAATACTTAAATGTAGTATTGCTCTGATGTGTGCTTAACACATTGAATAGGATTGGCTTTTTCCTATGTGCATCTAGACATATGAACAAACTAGTGACATTTCAATCAAATGGTGATATATCGATTTGACGAAGCAGACTGAGTGGGCACTTGTTTGTTTGATGAATGGGGATGAGCCAGTCATTTTAGGTTTTACTTATTGATTTCCAGAATCTGTTCAGCGTTAATAGCGCCTTGTTCATTTGCTTCTCCTACGCACTCTCCTTGACTGTTATCCTGGTTGCCATGCGACTGTTGCTTTCTGTTGGCATTACTGAATGAAACAGCTGTTTCTGCACAGCCTATTTTCAAACATCAAGGATTTTCCGCCATTTGGCCACAGGTTGCAATTCAAGCATTCAGCATAAAATTCAGTCGTTATAATCATGGACTGATTCTCCGATCGCCAGTAAATTGACTAACTTTACAATAGAAAATCCTTTACAATCTCACACTGTCGGAGAGAATCACCCTCTAGGTGCCAATGTATTTGCTTTATAATTTAGCCACCCTTTCAATACTTTCCCCTGTCTGTCTTTTTTGTATTAACGATATCCTGCACTATGGGCTCCTAACACTTTAATCAATTTTCTCCATAAAAATATATCACTCCCCTGTCATTTTCCTCATCTACTTTATTTGTTACTCTATCAAAAAAACATTGGGAACAGTGATCAAGCATGACCTTCCTTTTAGAAATGAATGCTGATTACTTTTCATTATATCTCCATCTTGAGATTTAGTTATTTTATCCTTTGTTATGGACTTGAATACCTTATCCACCACAGACTTTAAGCTAGCTGACCTGTAGTTCCCAGATTAGCTCCATCTCCTGTTTAAAAAAATGAGTATTACATTCACTACCCAAATTCTGTTCTCTGGCATGATTCCTTTCTCTACAAAGTTTTTCAATGTATATATATATGTACACTAGGGCCTCAGCTCTCCTCCCCATTTTATTTAAGGATCTTTTCAAATCTTACAAAATAATAATAATGAATAACAATAAAAATCCTTGAATTTGATAAAGCACCTTATCACATTGTTGAGATACCTCAAAGCACATCACAGTATTTTACAGTAAAATGTGGTGACTATATTTGTAGGCGAATGCGGCAAACCCTTTGCACACAGCAAAACATCCCACAAACAGCCATGAAGTGAGTGACTAATTTTGTTAGTGGGATTGTTGCAATGGGATCTTTAATAATAATAATAATTCTTGCAATTGATATAGCGCTTTTTTTGAGCTCTAAGGATGGGATGGAAACTTTAACTGCCACCCAAACAAGCAGACAATACAGTACCTTGATTGAACGTCTCATCCAAAGGCCACCAACAGCCACCA